AAAAAATCCCCCCTCTTCTGAATTAACTATCGAGGAAGAAATGATAACCCTCCCTTAGAGTTTAAGAAAAAATATATAAAGGAGACTCATGACAAAAGTGATTAAATAGGCAAAGCCTATTTGAAAGAAAAAAGAATGACTTACCAAATTCTAAAGGACAAGACCTAAACACCATACTTACAGCTTTGAGCACTACTACTCTACAGCATTTAGGGATGATTACATGCTATAAAATTTACATACTGTAAATGGAAAAATGCACTGATTTTTAATGAGTAAACTTAATTTAAGTGACTGTGCAACCATCACCACAGTCCAGTTTTAGAACAACTCCATTAAAAAAAAAAAACTCTCTAAGCCTATTCACAGTAAACTTTTGCACCAAGAGACCATCAGTATATGTTCTGTCCATATAAACTTGCCCTTTTTTTGGACATTTCACACAAAGTTGGACAAGACTGTAAATATTCTTTTGTGACTAGCTTCTTTCACTTAGCATGCATCTGAGATTCATCCAAGTCATAGCAATGTATTAATAGCTCATTTCTTATTGTTGATTAATATGCCATTGTATGTATATATCATACCTTGTTTATCTAGTCACTAACATACATTCTCATCAGATTGTTTCCAGTTTGGTCTATTAATAATGGTACTATATACAGTCATAAATAAGGCTTTTGGTGGACATGCATTTTTCTAGCTCTTGAGTAGTTTCTTAAGAATAGAATTACTGGGTTATAGTTAGTTTATGTTTAACCTTTTAAGAGTTCCAAACCGTTTCCCAAAGTACCTGTGTAGATACCCACCAGCAATTTATGAAGTTTCTTCACCTTCTCACTTTCAGCATATTGGTATCTTTGAATCTAAGGTATGGGTATGTTCCTTGTAGACAGCAGATAGCTGGATCTTGGTTTTTTGTTTTGGGGTTTTTTTTTGGGTGGTACTGGTGTTTGAACTCAGCACTTGCTAGGCAGACACTCTACCACTTGACCATGCCCCCAAGCCCTTTGGTTATTTTTAAGATAGGGTCTTGCTGTCTTCCTCACACAGCCTGGACTGAGAGCTTCCTATTTGCCCTTCTCTGCATAGCTGGGATGATAGGTGTGCACCACTGCATCCAGACATTGTTTGAGATAGTGTCTCATGAACTTTTTTTTGTCTGGGCTGGCCTCGAACTGTGATCTCTGTACCTCTGCCTCCTGAGTAGCTAAGATTACAGGTTTGAGCCACCATGCCTGGCTGATTATGTGACCCTTTTTTTTTCTTTCTTTTTTGGCAGTACTGAGGGTTGAACTCAGGGCCTTACACTTGCTAAGGAGGTACTCTACTGCTCGAACTATACCTCCAGCCCATTAAAAAACTTCTGCTGACAATCTCTACCTTTTGAGTGGGGTAGTCAGTTCAACCACATTTAATGTAATTATTGATATGGCTACTAGCAATAAATCAGTTTTTATTTATCTGAGAATGTCTTTATTTTTGTCATATGTAGAGGGCAGTTTTGCTCTATATCAGATTCTTGGTTGACTGTTTTTCTTTCAGCATGTTGAATGTAGCTTCCTATTGCCTTCTAGACATCACTGTTTTTGATGAGAAATCAGTCATTAACTGAGGTGTTTTCCTTCCATACATGTATCATTTTTCTCTTGTTGCTTTTAAATTTTTTCCCTTTGTCTTTTAACAGTTTGGTCATAATTTGTCTAGGTAAGTTTCTCTTTTTGTTTGTTCTTGGGGCTCATTGAGCTTTTTGGATCTATACATTAATATTTTTATCAAATTTGGAAGTTTCAGCCATTATTTCTTCAAATATTTTTTTCTATTCCTGTCTCCTTCTGGAATTGTTTTTACATACATATTGATGTACTTGGTGTCCCACAGGTCTTTGAGGCTCTGTTCACATTTTTTTCAATTTTTAAAATAACTTTTTCTAGATGGAATAATTTCTTTTGTTCTACCTTCTAGTTTATTCTTTTTATCCCAGTATATTCTTATTCTTTTTTCTGCCATCTCAAATTTATAATTGAGTCCCTCTAGAGAATTTTTATTTCAATTATTATGCTTTTTCAAATCCAAAATTTCTATTTCTTTTTTTAAAAAAATATTTTATGTTGAACACTGCATGGACCCCATCTCAGTCTATACTTTTTTTTATTATCCTTTTATTATTACTACTGTTGTTGTTGTACTAGGAGTGAACTGTAACATTTACAAAGTTCATAAGGGGTTGAATTCACCCCTTCATCATTCTCCTTTATCCCTCTGGCCCCCCCACATAAGGAAAGAGTGTAGGAGGGTAAATATGGTGGAAATATTATGTACTCATGTATGTAAGTGGAAAAATGAGACCTGTTAAAGATTCCTTTATTGAAATTCCGTATTCATTGAGACTCTCTCTGATACTTTAAACACAATGGACTTCCCATCTCTGAACATATTTAAACAGGCACTTTGCAGGGATTTTTTTTTAAATGCTAAATCCTGCATCTAATGACAGACACTCAGAGCTAGTTCCTATAGACTACTCTCTTCCTGTTTCTCTAAATGTCTCTCATTTTTTAATATTGGGCATTTTAGATAACACATGGTAGCAGCTCTGGATCCTGAATTTTCTCACAAGAGTTGTTATAATTTGTTTTCCTTATTTAGTAATTTTCCTGGATTAGGTCTCTGAAATCTGTCTCCCACACAATTGCTGATGTCTCTGTCAACTGTTTCCCTTGTCCTTATTTCTGTCTGATTTCTAGGGGTCATCCCCATGTCTGCATGGCTTAGGTTCTAGCAAAGACTAGCCAGAGATTTCCCTCAAATACCATGACCAAAAAGGCTTCCTTTCTCTGCTTCTAATTCTGTGTGTGGGCTGGGGAGTTCATGAAAACCTCAGGCTGTTTCCACATCTGCCCTGCTTGTACTCTGCTGGCTCCCTCACATCTCCTGTGTGAACACACAGCCTCCCCTGGCCAGGGACATGTGGTTGTCTTGGGCCCATGCCATCTCTACTTCCCATGCACACAGGCTAACTTCAAGCTGAGATATATGGAGAGTGCTGAAGTGCAAGTGGCTCTCTCACCTCTCAGAGCTACTTATTAAGGCAACAGCAAGACCTCGGGTCCATTGCGTGCTCCAAAAGGGACTATAAACTCAAGCTAGTGGAACTATTGACCTTTCTGGTCACTTAACACCAAGTTAGCCACTTGAATTGACAATCCTCAAACAGAGGAGCCCCTTCTGGAAGCAGCACCAAGGCTGTTGATGTTCATAGCCCTCCTTGCTCTGGTTCAACCTCACACTCACATGGCTGGAGGATGGAATGGGCCATGACAGACAAGAACACATATTCACATTGTTCCTACCCAAAGCCACTTCCCACCCAAAGTAGTTTCCATGAACAAATGCTTCTGAGTTTATTGTATGCTGTTAGTCAATTTTTAGACTATGAAATGGGTGTTAGGAACAGTCTTCTCCCAGCTTTCTGCTTGTTTTGGGGGAAGAGGTTTATTTCAACCTCCTCGCTCTCTCATGTTAGAAATTAGTATCTTTTCAACCACTCCTTATATTCTGCTGAAATTAGAATTATTAGTGCTATCAAAAAGTAGACCAAGTAGCTGAAAATACCACTATGAAATCTCATTTTCCAAGAAAAATGCTTCAGTTTTTTCCTTTTTTTTTTTTTGTCTATATTGTTTGAACTCAGGGCTTCATGCCTACTTACTCTACCACTTGAACCATACCTCCAGCCCTTTTTGTTCTGGTTATTTTGGAGCTATGGCTTCATTTTTTGCCCAGGCTGGCCTGAACAGTGATCTTCCTATCTTAGGCTTCCTACAGTAGCTGGAATGATAGATGTACAACACTAGACCCAGCTATTGGTTGAGATGGGGTCCTGGGAATTTTTTTATCTGGGATGGCCTCAAACCACAATCCTCCCAATCTCAGCCTCCTAAGTAGCTAGGATTAGAGGCATGCGCCACTAGCACCTGGCTTGGTTTTTTTTTCCTGGAAAAAAAATATTTACCCAAGGCTAGGACCTGGCACAAGTAGTAGAGCACTTGCCTGGCAAGAATAAGGCCCTGATAAAATTAAATAAATGAAATAAAAGAAAAAGTCAACCAGAAAACATAGATGACTGAAGGCACAAGTTTCATAGTTCTTTCAATAGATTGAGTTAAGGAATCTCAGCCCTGAGAGGCAGCACTGAAGGGCCTGGGCCTTGGTGCACTGGTAGACATGAGGGAATGGCAGGAGTGGTAGAAAGAGGTTCACACGCAACGTCTTGGTTACCACCGTGCACCCACAGCTGCCTTTCTGCTCCTGTCCCTTCGTTGTTTGTCCTCCTCTTTCTCTATGCTTCAGCTGCAACCATTCAGATATACAAAGTCCATGCTTGTAATATCCCTTTGTCAAAGGCTCCTTGAGGTCCCAACCTGGACATTTGTTGATTTTCCTTTCTTTTTCACCTTGAGCAGGCTGAGTTTTCTTGGGTAAGTCACTTGAGCTCTGGACCCTCACAGCCCCTCCAGAAGAAAGATTATTCCCCAGAGTATCTAGGAGTCCAGTCTCAGGGGTCGAGAAGCTCTCATTTTCACTGGCCGCTGGTGGCTCACGCCTGTAATCCTAGCTACTCAGGAGGCAAAGATCAAGAGGATCTCATTTGCAAGCCAGCCTGGGCAAATAGTTCATGAGACCCTATCTCGAAAAACACCATCACAAAAAAGGACGACCCTGAGTTCAAACCCCAGTACCACAAAAAAAAACCTCTCATTTTCAGACGGGTAAATTAAGGCGAAGAACATTAAGGGGCCTGCACATAGTCACCTTCCACAAGCATAAGAAAGATTAAATATGCTGATAAAATAGGTGGAAGGCCTCAGAAATTGTTACCTAAAGGAATGAAGGGTCGGCTCAGGGCAGATGACTAGAAAGAGTTTCCTGAAGATCCAGCAACACATTACACAGGCCACACAGCCTCTTGAGGTAGACGTTCAATCCACTTCTCTTACCTTAGCTAAGAAAATCCAGGCTGCACACTGCCCTGGGGCAAGAAGGCTTTTCATCTTCACTGTACTGAACATGAGAAAGAATCCTAAAAATCCACTGGAAGGAGAAAATATTCTTTTGTTAGTTAGGCTGCCTTCCTTCAAACTGGCTACTTTTTGTACCACTTACCAAGTTATTTCTTGCTTTTTTTTTTTTTTAAGACAAGGTTTTAACCTGTAGCTCAAGATTCAAGGCTGGCCTTGAATTTAAGATGCTCCCCTCTCAGCCTCCTGAGTGTTGGGATTACAGGCCTATACCTCCACACCTAATTTATCAGTCAATTTCCAATCATAATCCCCATCATGTCTGCATTTTCTAGTGATCTCTGGATAAAAGTAGCAAAAACTTAGAAACCCTGAAGCTCTTCTTTTCTAAGGAGCTATGATGAGAACGTTTTATCGTTTCACTGCAGTTGAGGAGGGGTACAGAAATTGGGAGGTCTCTGGCTAAATCATAAAAGAAAAAATGTAACAGAAATTCTCCCTCCCCAATTACTTCTGGAGCTTAGTGCTTGCCAAGGTAGAACTTCAACTTTTTAAATTTTATTAGCATATATTAAGTATATAAATAATGGGTTTCATTGTGATACTTTCATGCATGTATATAATGTACTTTGATCATATTCACCCTCCTTATTCCCTTCTCTATCTCTCCATACCATCACCGGGAGGTAAGATTTCCAAAGACAAACTGTCCATGCAAGGGAGATGGCCTAGACTGGACCCTGGGCTCGATGTAAGAATCTGAAGGTAAAGGGTATTCTCATAACACATGTGGCCAGAAGTCCCCAAGCCAGGCTGAGCTCTATAGAAGCCACACTTAGGAAATGATGCCTAAGCACCTGTGGGAACTGAAACACCCCCTGCCTTGGGGACTTGAGGGTGGGCAGCATCTTGGGGCCATTCAGGTGCATGGACCAGCAAGGGCATTGGCACTTCAGGGGACAGGGAGGATGCAGTTCCTGTGCTAGACTGACTTCTCACACATAAATTCAAGTGACAGCTTGAATGTGGCATTTATTTTATTTGTTGGTGGTACTGGGACCTGAACTCAACCTTATACTTGGTAGGCACTTACTCCACCACCTGAGCCCCATACCCAGCCCTTTCTACTTTAGTTTATTTTTCAGATAGGGTCTCGTACTTTTGCCAGGCCAACCTCAGACCACAATTCTCCTACCTCTACCTTCAGAGTAGCTGGAGTTACTGGGATATACCACCATTTCTTTAAGATAGGTCTCACTAACATTTTTGCCTGGGCTGACCTCAAACCTTGATTGTCTTATCCCTACCTCCCAACTAGTTGAGATTGTAGGCATGCACTGCCACACCCACTGTGGCTTTTATTTTAAAATGGAAAAGTTATACAATTACAGTTGTACCCCAAGCCAGAAAGGCAGAATATAGGAGCTAAACTTTATTTGTACCTGTACAGCCTCAAATATGACTCTTCCCTCTGTCCTTCATTATGGTCATAGTATGTGGCTCCAACCTAGATTACAAACTCTAAGCAGGAAGGACATAACCTTGGGCTGCACATTATACAGTATTTTAGTCATAGTAGGCATTCAAGAAATGCTTGTTAGGTTGGACTAAATCAAACACATCTAAGGCCACATTTCACAGACACGTGTATTTTCACATCATTAAACCAGTGTCATAGCCACACTCTTGGGGCAGGTAGCAGGCTTCCCCTGTGTATGTGTCAGCCAATTTGGCCTGATGACCTGCAGAGTTTGTTCAAACTTGTATCTATAGTCACAGGAGACTGGACAGGTTGGATTAAGACATTAAGTCTCACATCCAAAAGCCAAAGAGGCCTTGTGGGGAAACAGCAGACTTACCCAATCAGACCAAGTGGCCTAGAGTTCTGTTCTTAGCTGTGCTCACTGACCCTCATGACTCTGACCAAATCTCCCTTTCTTACTCTTTTCATGCCTCGGGTTCTGTGTTCTTGAACATAGTTGTCCTCATATCCTACCTTATAGAATGGTTACTTAGATTGGAAAAGTTCCCTAGCCTCCAAGTCTCGCTTTATTAACAAGGAAACTGAGGCACAAGTACACTTAGAATCCAAGTCCCCACAGCTGTCCAAACTCCCAAAGATATGTGTTCTTGCCTAGCTAGACAGAGTCAGATGTTCCATAGCCCTGAGGGTGGGGGTGGAAAGTGAGGCAATAATGCTCCAGGGCTCCTCTTGGTGGCTTCCACCTGCTGTGCCCCCTCTCACCTATCTTCTTCCCCTCTGGTCTTTCACTCTGCTCTATACCCCCAGGCAGAGGAAGGGCATGATTCCACCTTGACCTTCCCCTCTACATAGAGTCTGGGTTAGGGAAAGCTGGTCCTGATTTGTGACCAGCATCTCTGACAACTCTCATTGTTTACTATGTTTGTGACTCATTTCCATGCTACTCACCAATCTCTTACCATTCCCCTTCTCTCAGCTCTTCTCCCCCTTGCTATCCGGTAACTCTGAAAAGCAGAGGGAGATGCCTCAAGTGCTAGAGCCGGGGAATAGGAGATGCCTTGCTCCACAGGATCTCCAAGTCATGGCTACCTCTGTCCCCTCAGGTCTCCAAGACCCCTTCTGACCTCCCCCTGGACCCCCTGAAGTTGACAAATCTCAGTGTGAGAAATGGCCAGGGAGGAGCCCATGTGGGGAAACTGGACACAAAATGCAACACATAATTAAATGAACTGAAATGAGTATGTCCAAAATCTTCAAAATAAAAAGACTTGATTTATCATAAGAGAAATCTGCAGATTAAAAGCAGGTAAACAGCCAGGTGCCAGTGCCTCATGCCTGTAATCTTCACTACTCAGGAGGCTAAGATCTAGAGGATCGCAGCTTGAGGCAGCCTGGGCAAATAGTTCACGAGACTCCAACTCTAAAAGAATCTCAGCAAAATGGATTGAAGGTGTGGCTCGAGCAGTAAGAGAACCCACTTTGCAAGTGCAAAACCCTGAGTTCAAACTGCAGTTCCACCATAAAAAAAGAGGGAGAGAGAAGAAAGAGAGCTAGAATGTAACCCCCCTCTGGAAAAAAAAAAACAATACAAACAACTTATGAAGCTGTTGCTCTGCTCCTAGTAACCAAAAAAGCCTGGACCTCCCCTGCTTGCCATGTTGCCAAATAATCACAACCAAAGGGAAACCAATCCCCAGGCATCAGCATCATGGAGATTTGTGCTGTGGAATCCCAGTTAGTGGCAAGTGAACAGGGTTGATCAAACTGACAAGGCCTGGGAGGATGCACTGTTAGTGCTTTCCTGAACTCTAAGAGTGATAAATAAAATCATTCTGAGGCTCAAATGCAGAAACAAATTTTATAATATTGATTTTTTTTTCCCCTTCACCCTAACGCACCTGCAGGGCAGACATACCCCATTCAGAAACAGTACCAAGTCATATATCAGGTTTTTACCTTTCAGTAAAGACTTACTGCTTCAGAAGTACCATTTTATACCTGGGGAATGGATGGTCTGGCTTTAATGTAGTAATCACTCATGGTTTCTTAACATTTTACTTGTATTTGACCTGAGCATGTAATAATAATGGCCACCACTTATTGGGCCATGCCCAATACTTAGAACTTTACACATAATTTTACTTGCTATAACAACAGCCTTACCATCACTATTATTTTTCCATTTTCTAGATAAGAAAACTAAAGCTTGGGAGAACTTGAATAACCTACTGTGTTTGCTACACAGTTAACAAGCAGCAATTCTGGGGTTCGACCCAGGTCTGCTCTTTCCACCACATTAGAGTACAGACTGAGAGGCCCACCTCTCAGCATCATGAACTCAAGATTGTAGCTGGAAAGGCAAACAGAGTGGGAATGAACTTCAATGTGTCTGGATGCATCTGTCTGATTGGTCTACATCCCAAGTCCTTTCCTAGGCCAAATACTAACATCACCTTGTTGTCTAGACATCCATAGTCATTGATTTCCACAGAATTTCTCAGAGTCTGTGGGTTCAATGGAGGGATTTTGGAGGTTGCCTTCAGGCACAAAAGGGAGGTCAAGATAGAAGGTGAGAGGATGGGATTACGGACCCAAAACTCTCTTTGAACAGAATTAACTTCATCAGTTTTATATGCTGAAGCTTTTTTTTTTTTCTTGTGGTACTGGGTTTGAACTCACAGCCTGTGCTTGCTAGTCAAGAGCTCTACCACTTGAGCCATGTCGCCATCCCATTATATGTTGAAGTTCTATGTGAGATCTGCTTATGGATAGAAAAGGAGCAAGTGAAGCCCACCTCTTCAACAAGTTTGAAAAACCATGGCCCTGGTAGAGGCATGTATGCAGCCCAGGGGTCCTGGCTGGATCCAGGACGGTCCTGAGTATTCCCCTGCTGGTGCTCAGTAACAACCTGCTGAGGACCCAGTACTTGCTTCTGCTGTTACTTCAACTCACCCATGTGACTCTGGCCTTCATAGACAATAAGAACACAGCAGACACTATGGAAAGCATGCAAGTTAGCAAGTTTAAGATTACCTGGCACAGCAACTGCCATGGAATCTGTAGAAATACAGGAACGGGAAGTCCAGGACACTGAAGAGGTCACCTGAAGAACACAGCAATGGTGACACAATGACTAGCACAGCCCCACACCACCTCACCCCCAGCTACCCCGAGAAACTAACGAAATAAGGATCTTCAGCTCAGAAGCCCTGTGCACAGCGAGCTGCCCAGCACTGAGTTTCCTCCACTGGGATTCCTAGGATTCAGTTACTGACACTGCCTTATAATAAGAAGAAAAAGATAACCACATAATGACCACTTAGTGAGAATGGGTCATTCTCCATGAGATACTTCACATCTTTAGCTCTTTCAGTCCTCTTAACAACTCTGTGAGGTTCTATTATCCCCATTTTAACTGGAGCTCAGAGAAGTTAAGAGACTGTTTCACACTATATAACTCTTGAACTGTGGAGGCAGAATGTGTACCCCAGTCAATCCACACCCTGAGATCTTTCCTCTTTATCAGGCAGCCATCTGCATGAGGGAAAAAGTCTTTTAAAAGATTCTTTTCTTCTTTTTGACCTAATGTCTAAAAAAAGATCATGAATGCATTCCCCTGACATCTTTTTTTCATTTTCATGTTTAATTACTGAACAAACAGCACAGGGGCCAGACCTACAGTGCATATTCATTTTAGTTTAAGGTCCAAAGGGTACATTTATTTCTCGTGAAGTAACTTCATTCTTTTAGTTCCACTTGGTTCAAGAGGAAATAATCACACATATTGGCTGCTTCCCTCTCTGGAATTTGAGCTTGGTCACAAACAAGAAGTCAGGAGATTAAAAAAGCAGAAAGCCTTCCAAAAATGTCAAGAAAAGGAATTAAGTATTTCCACAGCAGATAGCTTAATCTTCCCAATCTGGAATTTCTAAGGCTCTGAAGGAGCCTGGCCCTCCAGACCCCAGGGCCTTGTCTATCCCTTGGTTCTGAGCATGTTCTTAAGTATTCACAGTATATCAGGAACACAGTGGAACTCACGGACAGTATTTCTTTCCTCCATCACTCTGCCTATTAACCAACAACTTCAGAACAAAAGATACAATGCATTTCTATACTTCCTTAGAGACTTAGTGATCCTGAACAATTTGACCATCTATTGGAAAGAAAGTTCTGAATTTATCTAGAAGGTTGTTTTTTTTATTGTGACTGTGATCCTTGTGTATATGTATTTCTAACTGAAAGGGTTTCTTGGAATTTAGTTTTTATGCAGCCCATCAAGTTTAGAGTTCTTGCCGGGTGCTGGTGGCTCACACCTGTAATACTAGCTCCTTGGAAGGCTAAGATCAGGAGGATCTCAGTTCAAGGCCAGCCCAGGCAAATAGTTCATGAGATCCCATCTCCAAAATAACCAGAGGACAATGGAGGTATGTTTCAAATGATAGAGTACCTGCAAGCATGAAATCTTGAGTTCATACCCTAGTCCCACCAAAAAAAAAAAAAAATTTTAGAGTTTTCATCCTCTTTGGGCCACAATCTTACTGACTCCCTCACTTATCCGATCAGGACCTGGATTGGGGGAGGGAACTTATAAATACCACCACCAGGATCAGATCTCTAGTGCATGCAGGTTGAGCAGGGGTATATTCTGAGTTCCCTTCCCCATAGAAGTGACTGCCAAGATAACCCTGGGGACCTGCAGCATGAGAGTGGCCAGAGTGCCTGTTCAAGCATGTGGAAGGGATGTCCGCAGAGAATTTGTTCTGTCTCCTCTGCAGCTGTTCATTCTTGGCCCTTTCCCAACTTCCCTGTCAGTGTGAGAGAAAGTGCAGTGCAGTCAGTGTGATAATGAGGAATGGCAGAGAAGGCAATCAATTATATCCAGGCCTTGAGACCTTGGGCTGCACCTCCTCTCAGCACCCCATCTTTCAACAGAAATGCTCCAGGGGGGTAAACTGGACTCACAGGTGCACTGGCAACCTTTATAACCCAGGCTTTGGAAGGGGTATAAAAAGCACAGGAATGGCCAAGGAGAGACTGGGAGGGAAAAAAATCAATACCAAATCACACTCGTAGGGAACTTATCAGTTAGATAATAACCCCACCCACATCTCAAAAACTGATTCCATAAGTTGCTGAGAATTTGCCTGCCCATATCTTTGAGCCATTTCTAAAACCTTCACACATTTCTCACACAGCACCTACTTGACTATCCCATAGCCTATAACTAGCAAATCCTTGACAGCAAGGTCTCCATCTTACCCATCCCTATATCAAGTATGCTGACACAGACCAACCACTACTGAATGGAGGGTATCTGAAAGACCTGAGTGTTTCTTGTTTACCATGGAGAGAATGTTCTGAAGAGTTTTCAGTTGTCTAAGTGGGTCTCAGTTTCCAGTGGACCCCAAATGCTTCCCTGTGATGTCCTCAAACTGTCTTTTCTTTTATTAATACAGTGCTCTTCAACAAAGAGGGTGCACATCAGCCCCCAAACAGCAAGGGTCAGTGATTGTCATAAATTCCCCCAGAGAAGTTGCTGTGTGCGGCTGGTAGGCTCCAACCCCATGACAACTCAATCCAGGAGACTCAAAAATGTATCAAGATACTCCTAAGCCAAACTCCTGCCTACCCTGTGCAGAGCTGCTCATGTAAGCCAAGTAGAAGCAGAGTTATAAAACACTTGGGCAGCACCATGAGACATATGCAGTCCAGTCTTAGGGGTCCTTTACCGCTGGGTTCCACTTCAAATTCTGCTGATCGGAGGGAGTGAGTGAACCCCACTTCTCTGAAGATTTCAGAGCATGGAACTACCTCAGTGAAATGTGTGACACAACCCTGCCATGTTCGAAACTAGCTAAGATTTGAACATGAAGGAAACTTCCTCTCATTACATTTCAGCTCTCAGACCTAGCAGGGAAATGGGAGGTCAGTTCCAAGGGGTAATTAGTGTCACTTGCTTTTTGGCACACAGGAGCAATCAGCATCCCAGGTACCAAGGAAATTTCTGGGTCAGATTCCTGCGGGTCTCCCAGCTCCACTGGTTCCCTCAAATTCTTTCTTTTGAATACCACAGCAGAAGGTTCTCATACAAATGTGAAGTGCAAACTTTTTTCTTTTGGCTGTACTGGGACTTGAACTCAGGATCTTATGCTTGCTAGGCAGGCACTCTACCACTTGAGCCACACACTCAACTCTGTAAACTTTCAAACCTGGGCAGAATTTCTCTTCTACTGCTCAAAGTCAATGGCACTCCCCTGAAAGGAGGTAAAAGGAGAAGCAGATACATGCATCTTTAAGTTACCTTGACACACACTTTGTAAAAGTTCTAACAAAGCGACAAACACAATCACAGTAATCACAGAGAACCTTTATAAAAGGAACCTGCCTGTATACTGCCTAATACACATAGAAGACGGTATGCTTTTACAGTGTTCCTCTGAGATGCTTGAAGGGAAGGGGGGGGGGGTCCTTCCTAAGTAACAGTCCAAGACTCTTGGAGCCTCTATGTGAATTGGGGGAGGTCAAAAGAAAGAGATGGACATTACCTGCTTAGAAGCAAACCCCGGGTCCAGAGCATGGACAGCTATCTACCTGATTCCACATACCCCAAAAGGGCATCTACAAAAGTAACTCATCTTCCATAAGTGAGCAAGATGGAAGCTTGGTCAAATGCACCATCTACACATCATCACCCACTGAAAGAGCTCAAGTATGCCCGACAACACCAAATGTTGAGGATATGGAGCAATGGAAATATCATGCTCTGCTGAGTGGGAGTGACAAATGGTATAGACACTTGGGGATACTGGTACTTTCTTAGAAAGTTAAATATAAGTCTACTCTAAGACCCAGTAATCCTACTCAGCTGTTTTATGTGCCGAAGTAGCTGTACAGTATGAGAAAACATCCCCAGGATCCTTCAGAGAGTTCAGGGCAATTGACTCCTGAGGGGTCTTCTTGATTATGAGCTTCTGTCATCTCTCACACCAAATTCCTACCTTAATATCTGCCTTGGTTGTCTGCTCTAACAATTATAAGCACTTGCCTATTCCTGAGTGGCAGTGACTGATGCTTACAGCTGCATGGACTATGTGTACTACACATCTCAGAGGGTGATGGTCCTGAACTCCTAACAGTTAACGCTGATCAAAACCTGAACAGGCCTTTTCATTTTAGATTTCACAAAAAGCTTCACTACTCTAGTCATGATTGTTTTACTAAGCCTCCTGATGCTTACTACACATCTCAGAGGGTGATGGTCCTGAACTCCTAACAGTTAACGCTGATCAAAACCTGAACAGGCCTTTTCATTTTAGATTTCACAAAAAGCTTCACTACTCTAGTCATGATTGTTTTACTAAGCCTCCTGATGCTTACTACAGGCTGTGTTCTTACACTGACAGTACAGAAAGAAGAGGCAATGTAAACCTACCCCATATACACCTCAGCCCAGGGCCTGTGCCTGGCCTGTATTGTGAATGGGGAGACATGGGATGGGATAAAAGAGAAAAAGAAAAAAAAAAAGTTTGTTTTACTACTCAATGGTCCTCATCCACACAGACAATCAAAACAAACCCCATAGCTAGCAAGATTTGAAGTCAATGACACTTCCCAGATAGGGGGTGAAAGGAGAAGCAGATACATGCATCTTTAAGTTACCTTGACACACACTTTGTAAAAGTTTTAAGAAAGTGACAAACATGATTGCAAAATCACACAGAGAGCCTTTATAAAAGGAACCTTCCTTTATACTGCCTAATACACATAGAAGACAGTGTGATTTTACAGTATTCCCCTGGTATGCTTGTGGAACAGATTCTGAACTTGGTACTAGCATACATGGAAGTAACTAGCTTCTTCTGGAAGGCTGCCACCAATATGTACATAACCCCACAGTCACCTTCCCTGTTATGGTGGCCACAGAGGCCTGTAGGACTCACAGTTTTGGTCCTACATCCCTTCCTTAGAGCTACTTTGTGAGGGAGGTCAAGGTTAACTCTGCTATTGACCCATGAGGCACAGCCAGTATCACTGACCAAAAATAAAATCCTTCTCATAAGCCCATCTTCTTACACCTGCCCTCTTCAATGACACCAACTCAGCTAGCAGGAAACTGCAACAAATCCAAGTCATAGACAATATTCTTTCACCATGTCAGTATCCTCTTTGATGATTCCCACAGGCTCCATTTCTCCCCAAGCTTCCCACCACAGACTGATCCTTGTCACACCTGCAATGGGTTTGAAGCCTGCAGGAGAAGTAATAGGAGGCCAGTATCTGATGTCCATATTTTTAATTAAAAATATGCATATATGTTGTAGTGATGGAGAACAAACCTATGGCCTCACATATGCTAGAAATGTGTTCTACCACTAAGCAATACCTGCACCCCCTAAAAATATAATCTGAAGGGAAATTAATCTATACACCTATCCTCTTCTTGTATAAATAAACTCCAAACAATCTCAACTCAGAGAAATTTCCTTTTTTCCATATACAACATATGGAATACATATGTAGTCTGTGTGTGTGTATGTGTGCGTGTATTTTTTTTTTTAGAATTGGGGATTGAACCCACAGGCTTGCACACTTGCTGGGCAAGCACTCTACCACTAAAGCTTTGTCTCCAGTCTTTTGGTTTTTATTTTGTTTTTGAGATATGATCTTGCTAACTTTACCTGGGCTGGCCTCAAACTCACAATCCTCCTGCCTCCACCTCTCAAGTAGCTAGGATTACAGTCCCCCAAAATATTTTCTCATTGAGACATAATTCATCCTTTTGCTGGGTGCTGGTGGCTCACATCCGTAGTCCTAGCTATTCAGGAGGCAGAGATTAGGAGGACTAAAGTTTGAAGCCAGCGTGGAGAAAAAAAAAAAGTCAGACCCTATCTCAAAAATACCCAACACAAAAAAGGGATGGCAGTGTGACTCAAGTGGCAAAGCACCTGCCTAGGAAGCATGAGGCCCTGAGTTCAAACCCCAATACCAAAAAATTAAAATTCTCCCTTTTAAAGTGTACACATTGCATTTTTAGCATATTCACAGAACTGTGCAACTATCACCTCTAGCTCATTGCAGGACATTTTCATCACACTGAAAAAAAAAAAACAACTGATGCCTAATTCAAATTACTCTCGGTGCAGGCCAGGCTATTATACTGCTGACCACTCTGTGTTTCCAGAGAGTGACTAAGTGCTCAAGCATTCTTGCAATAACCTGAAAGTTTAGCAGTAACTCAAGGTAAAATGTCACGCCATTGGCCAAAATAAACTATCACCAGCAGCCAACATGCTTCAAAACTGGTGGATGAAATGCCCCTTGAACCAAGAGAAGCTCCAGAAAGAAACAGGAATTTCTAAATTCCCTTAGAAAGGTATTCAATTGCTCATGACATTTCATAATAAAAGTGTAGGATCTCTGGAGAAGCACTGATTAAAATGCAAAGCCCAACACAGAATCAGGTGACCTAAACTCCAGTTTCCCTCCATTATGCACCTACTCTGCCTCACCTTGGTCCTGTCACCTAACACCACAGTTTCTGTTTCCTCACTTGTAAAATCTGGCAACACCTGGGATGACAGCTAAGATTCCTTCCAGCTGTAACATGAACTCTTAGTTGAAGGGCAAAGTGACCTCTTTAGGTAAAAAAGTATTCTCACCCAAGGCCACTGGGAACAATTCAAGAAGTAAATGAACACGCAAACCAGGAGATCAAGCAAATATAACAATCTAAGAGTTTTTGACAAAAGCACCTCTTAAAGGGGCAGGACACTTAAATATCTGCTAGGTGATCAGCACCTGGCTGCCTGCAGGCAAGACAGGAGGCATGGTTTAAAAGCAGATTAGCAGTAGTATGGGACAAACAAAAACCATTTAGTGCTCATAGGAATTGTACAAAGGACAAGCTTTCAACACATGATAGTGGGGAAGACACTCACCTGCAAACCTCAGACTTCTGAGATGTCACCAGGCTGTGGGAGTGAGCAGACAAAAGTGGACATGGTTTGGAGTGGACAAGCTCAGAGTAATGCATGAAGGAAAGAGTAAATTGGATCATCCGCGGGAGACACGGACTCAGACACGGCACATACCGTCCGGCAGCATTACTCCTGAGTCACTATGCAAAGTCCTTAGAAGACTTGCTCAAATAGTGTGAGGAAGCTAAAAACTCCAACAGAAAGTTGTCATTGCTTTGAGCACAGGATAAGAGTGAGAAGGGGTTTTCCAAAGACCCCAGTCCACCTTTCTCATTTTATACATGAGAGATGTGAGACCCTGAGGCTTAGTTAATGCTTCATGCATACCAGTGGTCAAATACATTCATTTTGTTTTGGTTTTTGAAAAAGTCCTAAGGAAACCACCCAGCAAGAGAACCAAAGAAGTTGCAATCCTTCTGAGTCAACACTCTTTCTTCCAAGTTCTCCCACCCCACCAGAAGCACCACCAATGTAATGTGTGCCTTCAGCCATGCCACACAGGTACCGCTGTTTTATCTTCGGCCTCAATTTCTATGGTTTAAATGTGGTTTGTCCCCTCTAAAACTCATGTTGAACCTGCATTGTAAGTATTAAGAAAGTGCAAACTTCATCTGACTATGGGGTTTAGAGGTAGGGCCTTTGGGGGATAATTAGGATTAGATAAAGTCACTGGAGTCATAATTGAATACTGGTGACTTATAAAAAGAAGGACAGAGGGTGGGTATGGTGACACATACCTGTAATCCCAGCACCCAGAAGACAGAAGCAGGAGAACTGTGAATTCAAGGCTAGCATGGGGTACATAGTAAGACCCTGTCTCAAAACAATTTTTTTTTAAAAAGAAGATGAACACACACACTCATTCTCTGTGTCTTGCTGTGCAATGCCCTGACTACCTGAGGACTGTGCCAGCAAGAAAGCTATCATCAGATGTGGCCCCATGACCTTGAACCAGAAATGAGAGCCAAAATAAACCTCTTTGTACTTCACCCAGCTTGTGGTACTATGTTATTAGCAACAGACAAGAGACTAATATGACTTCTCTTTCAAAATAAGAATACCATGATGAAATAGAGCATTGTGGGTAATTCCTAAATCTGAAAAACAACTAGAGTCACTTAGGGTGAAGAGAGTCACAGGGTGAAGAGAAGTTTTGAAAACTGACTTCTTTACTCTAGAATTAAGAAAATTAAGCCAAACATGATGATACATGCCTGTAATCCCACCAATCAGGAGGTTGAGGCAGGAGGATCTGGAGCTCAAGGCCAGCCTGGACTATATAGTGAGACCCTCTCTCAAAAAAAAAAAAAAAGGGGGGGAGGGAGGAAGGAAGGGAGGGAGGGAGGGAAAAAGAAAATTGGAATGGTGACATATGATAAAAGTTTATAAAATGGTATCAGGTAGAAATAGGGTGAAATAGAACTTTTTTATTTTATTTTATTTTTTGGTAGCACTGGGGTTTGAGCTCAGGACTTCAAGATTGCTAGACAGGTGCTCTACTGCTTGGGCCATACTCCCTCTACCCTTTCTGCTCTGATTAATTTTGAGATAGGGTCTTGAATTTTTCCCATGCCAGCTTAGACCTCAAGCCTCTTGAGCCCATCTGTGGTGTAGCTGGGATGACAGGCACCTGTATCAAACTATTGCTTGAATTGGGAGTCTCACAAACTTTACTTTATTTTAAACCCAGGTTGGTCTTGACCATGAGCCTCCTGATCTCAGTCAAGTAGTTAGGATTACAGCCATGGTACCTGGCAGAATTTGCACTTTTTCATCAAATCCTTTAGCATCATCACTAAGAGCAATTTTGGATTCTTGTGGAAGGCATTTTAGAAGAGGGCAAAACAAGAACTAGTTTATTGGGCAGGTGACAGACCTGCCTGTATATAAGAGATTGCACCAAATGAAAACACAGACTACAAAATTCAAGCAGAAGTAAGAGAAAATTCCTGAGAAATAAATCTACAATATTTTTTAAATATATAATTTTTGTGGTACTAGGGATTGAACCCAGGGCCTCAGCATGCTAGGCAAGTGCTCTGCCACTGAGCTATGCTTCCAGCTCCATAAATTGGGTTATTAAGAAGTTTCAAATATGTGGGCCATTCCTGACCTCTCAGTGTGACATCCTGGAAGGTGACCATATTCTCTCATGGGATGTCTTCAGAGACAGAACCAAGCTCAGAGCACTGGATTGAACAGGCAATATAAAGCAAACAAAACACTTGAGCAGGCTTACCTGTGGGATGAGATGCAAATGCCAGAAGTGCCACACTGAAAAAGACACAGAAAAGCAGTCAAGAAAGCTTCTCCAACCCAAACAAAAATGTAAATATCTGCCAGTTTTACTTGGAAATAGTTTAATTCACCTGAAAGCAAATGATCTACTACTGCTGCCATTCTGCCCAAACCCAGCTCCTCAGAGTGAGAATCTCTTGAAATGTCTCATGTTTTGGTAGGAGGGCTGAACACACCCTTAGGACAATAAGGGTCTCAGGTCCCACCTGAGGGTCAGTTATGTCACTTTTCTTGTCTATATTATCACACACACCTAATTTACCAAGAGTATTTAAAAGCTAAACAAAGCAAACTCTAAATTACAAATAGGTTACAGTCTAAAAGCTAACCATTGAGTGTAAGCTAAATATATTTATGCCATAAAATTAACTGTGTAGAAGGCAGTTAAATTTCCAACTACTATCCATCCATCCACTGTGTGGCTGCAAATTTCCTGGACTGATGTTCAATAGATGTCAAGGGGAGGGGATGAAAGGAGAATAAGAAGTGTTCCTTTCATATGAGCCATATTTGACTTTGGTACCCCTCCTTCTCCTCTCTGGAAACTTTTGTTTCTCTGCACCCTCTGTATGGTGCCTGTGTGCTGTCTGAAGCCCACTGTGGTAGGCCAAACCCCATCTTCTGTAGCTTCTTCCATCAAAACTCCATGCCATGCAAGAAGCTAATCTAGTTCCGGGGTAGGATTAAAACTTGCCATCTCAGTATGGAAGGGAGACTTTTTAGAATGTGGGAAGGGCTGTTCTGGTTGTAGACCTGGGCTGTACACCAGAACAGCCCACATCCATCCTGGCTGCAGTCAGAATCCCCAAGGCTGGTGTCTGGGCAGCTGTTGTTTTCTCTGTTATGAACTAAGTAGCTCTGCAGTGCACTAGGATTGAGACCTATGTCAGGGGATTCCCAGTGGGTGATGACATTGCAGGCAGTAGGGAGGAAGAAATGCATGAACAGAAACCACTGTTAGCTCATCAGCCCTGCCTGTGCCTGTGATTCCCTCCCTGAGCCATTTCTGGTTTTCTGAGTGCTCCATTTGCCCTTCTTCTAAAGGGCAGGCTTGCTGTGCCTCCAGAACAACACCAGGAGTGGCACAGGCAGGAGAGGAGGTTTAGGACAAAGGTGAGGGAGAAGAGCCCCATGTCCCATCACTCAGAAACTATAGGTTTATTAGACAATGTTTACCTGGACTCTTAAAAAACACACCCACTACAGGAAACTGTAGGCTTTGCAATGAGTAGTGCTTCTCATGGGCTCTGTAAGTCTTTCCTTGCCATTGTCTTCCTTTAGAAAACACATACCCTGTACCTCTTCCATTATTTTAACTTCCTGGATCCTCTTTTAGTTACAACTTCAGAAGCACAAGTTATTGCTCCCATGGCAGGATATGGAGCCTCTTTTGATCCAAAAATATCTCCTAGAACCTGCCATGGTACCCCAAATCCCATCATCAGGATCACCTCAAAGGATTACCCTAAAATAAAATATTATAAAGTAGAAATAAGAAGTAATTAAATAAAAGAGTTGACTTTCAAATCCCTATTTTGAATTTTGCAAATAGAGTTAGGCCACTCCAAATTCCTATACAGTGACCTCCTTGGGTGCAAGAACCATATTTTATTCATCTCTGGATCATCTGAAACCTAGCAGAGTAAGGCATACAGCAAGTGCTCAATATGGCTCCTAAAGCAGTTAATTGCATCTAGATGTATTTGTTGTAGGAATTTGTGGTGGGAACTATGAAAGGTCAGAGTCAGGAGCAACTGCTTCCTCAATGAAGTAGAAGCATCTTCCAAAAACAGAGAACCATCCAACTATTTGCCTCTCTCAAAATAGTGACAGCTCAAACCAATTCTCTGCTCTGGCAAGCCATGCTCCCAGCTGGCCCAGCCAGGCCCAAGCCATAAACTGAGCAATTACAGGTTTCTGGATGCCAATTCCCTAAGCTTCTGACTCTAGTGGGAAACCAAATAGTGGCTCTGCTTCTGATTCTCACATCTTTATCACTGTACTGAAGGGAAAACCTGGAAACAGAGTCATGGCTTTAGTGGGTGTGCCATAGACTCAGCCAGGAAGCTCAGAGCACCAGGCTCACAAGTAATCAATATCTTCATGACAGGCAGAGGGAGAGAGGACCAAAGAAAGGGCTAAGTGGTCTCAGAAGCTCATTTTTTCCATAGTCCTATTCCTTTGCTGCATGATGTGGCCATTTATACTATGGAGAACTTCCCAACAAGGCCCAATGTCTGGGAAACAGTTGCCTTTTTGCTTTCTCTCCTTTTTTTTTTTTTTGTGCACATCTGGGGACCAAACCTAGGTTTTGTGTGTACTAGGCAGGCACTCTACCACTAAACTACACCCTTAACCCTTGGAAACATTTTAAATACCAAGAGCCTTTTACATTTTCAGAAAAGTCTCTTAAAAGAGAGCTGGTGGTTCTGGGCAGAGCAGAACTATTGATTATTTTCTGCTGAGTACAAAGGTGGCCCTCAGCCATATTTGGGGTGAATCTTCCTTAGAAAGGCAGTTGAATAAATACTAAGGTGTTTAAGGTGTTTATGAGCTTTCTCTGCAAATGGAGACTGCAGAGCATGCTGGACATTTTAAGTCAAGTAACTGCCCCAGGCCGGTCCTACACCATGCACACGTGTGTGGACACCTCAGCCCTGCAAGGCTACACTCCCAGCAACAGCCTCTCTTTGGATACCCTGTGGACCCAGGAATGAGTTGGGAAGACAGACCCAGGGAGGCCCTGGACCCCAGCTCAGGGCCACTTGGGTAGAAATGAGGGCGTGTTCTCTGGATGAAATGACCTTAGCTTCTGGAAGAGGAGAAGGTGGCTCTCTGAAGTTCAGGCCAGACAAGGGCTTTCTTGCTTGGCTGGTCGAAGGGCAGGAATAGTATTTGTTTTTCTCAATTCTGGTCATCTCAAAAATTATTTAACTTACTTTCCTAGAAGGCCCATTTGTTCAAAACTCTCTAATCAAAATATTATTGGAAAATAAAAATTCATTAGCTCTATATCCTTATCTCAACTAACAAAAACCCTTGTTCCTTCCTATTATTGCTTATATTCTCTCTTCAACAAAATTAGAGATAAGGGCAAAATAGTTTCTGCCAGGTATCGAGGGGGTGGGGGGGAGAGGGAGGGGGCGGAGTGGGTGGTAAGGGAGGGGGTGGGGGCAGGGGGGAGAAATGACCCAAGTCTTGTATGCACATATGAATAATAAAACAATAAAAATTTAAAAAATAAAAATAAAAAAATTCATTAGCTCTAGAAAGAAATACATTATTTCTTAATAATGTAAATTATATTTTACCTGAATATATAGTTTAAGTACTGCTGGTCAATGTCACTAAGGAATGAGAGAGAAAAAGAAAAAACAAATGAAATAGGAGAAGATTTTCCAATACATAAAATGGTCATTATCCTCTACTAATAAATTCTCTAAATATAAGTTACTACTTTTATAAATAGTCAATAAATAAGAGGAACAGTAATTACATTCATAACCAGTTCCTGTTTTTTAATCTGAAACTTTTTAAAATTCTTTAATTCTGAAATTTTTCAAAAATTTTAAATGTGCACATAGTAATTTTACTCTGAATTATTCTTAAAAAACAGTTTATCCCAGTGTGCATTGGCCATTTTCAAAGGAGTGTCTACTATCTCAGAGCATGTAACTCACTGGCTTCTATGATTACGATGTTTACCAAATAAAGAGTCAAAGCACTCAAATAATTTTGAATTTAAGATAAAGAGTAATGTTTTAGTGCATATTTCAATATCACATAGGGCATACTTAATTACTTACTGCTTACCTGAAATTCAAATTTAACGTGTATATTTAAGGCAACTCTACTGCCTTTATTTTTTAAAATTTTTTAAGATAGGTTCTCTCCAACCCAAGCTGGCCTTAAACTTGTGATCCTTCTATCATACCCTCCTAAATTCTGGGATTATAGGTATATGTCATCATGCCCTGCTCTCCTGACTTCTTGCTGCAAAAACACTATTCAAAGAACAAAAGGTGCTTTAGGGAGTGAGCCTCTCAGAGTGCTTGATCTTCTCTCAAACTTATTTCTTCAGATCTTTCCTCTTTAGGCCTTTGGGAAGCCCCAAACCCCAGAGACCAAGTGGCCAATCTCAAGCTCTAGCTCAGCCAAGGCCAAAATTCCTGTCTATTTTCACTCACGTTTACTAGGCTGTGCACTGACTGCCTGCAACAAAGGCCTCATTTTATGGAGAACAGAACTGTGCTGGGGAGACTTCTGGGAGTAAACTAAGTCAAGTTAAAAAGGGCCGGGAAAACAAGGAGGTAGAATTGTCCCTCTAAGCTAGATGTAGTTTACTGGCACCAAAAGTATCTGGTAACAGGCATTTCGTTGGCTGCTGTCCTAGTCTATGACCATACCATCCTGAATGTACCCAGTCTCTTCTGGTCTCAGAAGCTAAGCAGGGTCAGGACTCGTTAGGACTTGAATGGGAGATTGTCATCTAAAGGCTGTCCTGAAGGAAGGGCCTGAGACTTCCATGTCTCTGCACAGGTCACTGAAGGCTGGTTGTCTCTGATAGTTGTAACCCCAATTGGGTAAGTGACCTGAGCAGCAAGAGGAAAAATGATTTTGAGGGCTGTCTGCTGCCCTGGCTGTAAAGACTCTGCAGAGACCTGTAGAGTCTCTGGCTGACTGAAAGAATCTCATGATACATGGACCACTCCCCTCTCCTTTAACCAAACAAAACTCAATGAACATGAAGAACTTACCTTAACATGCTGGGCTTCTGGGACTTCTGTAGTATTTTATAAACCCCTGGAAATGAAGCAATATGTGTCAGTAACACATGACATTCTGTTTAAAAAGCTGACTGCATGACTGAGGAAGCTCAAAAGTCACAGAGAGAAAGGCCCCAAAAAGCATGGCTGCCCCTCCCATTTTCCCTATGAGGATCACACACACTGACAGGAAGAGACCAACAACATTGGAGGGTTTCAAGGATCCAAGACCCATAATCCTCCATGAAAATGCAGGTCAGTCCTTCAAGCAACCTGCAAACAGTGCTGCCCCAGGAAAACAGCTCTACCAGCAGGTAGATACAATTAACAGGAGGATTTCATTTTCTTTGCATGATGCAAGTGCGAAAGCCAAATACCAAGGGATTCCTAAACATTTCTGAATTGTGTTAACATAGTCAGGGTACTATTTCTTCCCCCCTAAGACTACAGACAAGAAACACTGATACCCAGGTTGAAATAAAATCAAAATAGAAAAACAATCCAGGAGATGCCCAATATTTAATTTTAACACTTTGGGATTTAATTTTCCTATAGTCCAGAGTCACTAAAAAGTGCACCTACAAGAAGAGCTAAATAATAAACATCAACTATTTAAGTAAATATTCTTTTAAAACTTACCTACACAGAATAAGTGAATTACAGCCCAAAAATATCCATCTGGATCAAACTGCAACATAGTTACAAAAAAGAAAAAAAACGGCTTTAAGCATAGACAAACGGGAACCTGGATGGTGATGGGAGACAAAGTCTCATCACTGCACAGCCAAGCAGAGCTTCAAACGACCTGTTGGGGTCATAAGTCAGCTCCTACTCATTCTCTCTCATGGCTGAAACATCTTTCTATAGGACTCTGCCTCCAGCATCCCATTCCCCGCACTGCCACCACATTGTGTTCATCCAAATTCATCACACCCAAGGACCTCAATGTCAAGCTCCTGCAACCTCTCTAGTCACATCTATTGCCCCTTAACTCTAAAGAACAAGGATGACTTGCATTTTCCCAGGCATGAATGCTTCCCCTACAACTCAGGCAGGAGGACTCTCTTGTCTTCCAATTCTTTTTTTTTTCTTTTATTATTCATATGTGCATACAAGGCTTGGGTCATTTCTCCCCCCTGCCCCCACCCCCTCCCTTACCACCCACTCCACCCCCTCCCTCTCCCCCCCACCCCCTCAATACCCAGCAGAAACTATTTTGCCCTTATTTCTAATCTTGTTGTAGAGAGAGTATAAGCTATAATAGGAAGGAACAAGGGTTTTTGCTGGTTGAGATAAGGATAGCTATACAGGGTCATCTTCCAATTCTTTATTATTCTCCACTGAACTGAATACTATCTGATATAGCTATAGTTTCCTTACTCTGTTTATTTGTCTCTATTACCACCCAATCTTCACTAGATTGTAAATTCCAGGACAGCAGAAATTAATATAGGGTACACACATAGTAAGTGATCAATAAAGTTGAATTCCAGAATACTCATGACCACTCCCCTGCCCCCGCCCCACCCCACAAGGACTTTGCCCTTGCCTGCTTTCTTCTGCTGGCTAATTCCTCCTCATTCTTCCAGACTTAGGTCCAGTAAGCAGAGATGCACCCCGGCATCAGAAAGATCTAGGACAAATTCTAAATTTCCCACTTATTCATTAGCTGATGACCTTTTGAGCTGCACTATTCTCAGTATGAAATGGAGATAATAACAGTCCTTGCTGTCCTTGTTATGAGATACTAAATAAGACAGGGCACTCAAAGTAGTGGCACAGATCCTGGCACACAGCGGGCATCCTGTAATTGTTAGCTGTTCCTACTTCCAAATTCCGAGTCCTCTTAGGTGTTCATAGCCTCTGTGCCTCCTGGGACAGAGACCTGGCCTCCTGTCATATAATATTGTTTCCCTCCTCTTTGCTCTGAAAAGACTCCAACTTCTGCCAGGACAAAGACTAATCTTTGTGCCCTTGGAGCCTGGTTCAGTGCCTGACACTATGTGGGGACTTAAGGATGCTGGGGGTTATGGGGGAGGAAGGAGGAAAGGAAGAAACCCCTAGCAATGAGATGATTACTGATGGTGGGAAGGCTCTTCAGTGCCTACCTCATAAGGTAAACCCAACTTGAACACAGGATTAAAAGTGAAAATCGCCCTGCAGAAGAGACCCTAGGGATGAGAAAGAATCAAGGGATGATGTAGGTGTGGAACTGCAGGTTCACCAGTCATGCACAGAGGGCAGACTGCACACATCCAGGGATCAGAGCTCTAGGGCCTGGTGCAATGGTATGGTTGGACCAAAAAGCAGCCAACCTGAGAGCTTTTTAATGCCTTTGCTAAGCCAGGCTATTCTGATTCTAAAAGGAATGACTAGGAAATTTTGCACAGACATGTGAGCTTCAGAGAGTAAAAAATTCTTTTAAAGTACAATGAGTTTACCTGGACTTACCTGGGAGTCATTGAAGGGAAGGCACCCTGCAGCTGCCAGGAGGAACAGGGCACTGTAGACAGGCAGATAAAACAGGCAGCTTCACTTTTCAACATCAAAGCACTTCCCAAAGTGTGTGGAGGTTGAAACACATCCAGTGGAGTTTGGAGGAGGCAAAGAACTGAGAGAGCAACCCAGTTCCCCACCATCCTCTGAGAACCCAACTTCCTATGTCGCTTTCAATTATGTGCTCTGCTGACAACTACACATTTCCTTCTCTGTGGCTCAGCTGGCCATTTCCCAGAGCTAGGTATTTGCAGGACATCTGAAAACCACAGTGGGCTCACTAGAGAAAAAGTGTGCCTGTCCAACATCTGTTAAAAAGCAACTTTTGCAACTACAGATCTCCTAAACACAAATTGTGTGTGTGTGTGTGTGTGTGTGTGTGCGACAAATTGGACAATTAGATCACAATCATGCCAGTGACAAAAACAAAAATAGTGTGAAAAGCACATTAAAAGCCTTTGCCCAGGAGGCAATGTAAATAATGTACAATATAAGTCTAACTGGAATTGTCACTACGAATCTCCACCTGTATAATGAATATATCCTAATAAAAGATGATTAAAAAAAAAAAAAGCCTTTGCCCACCACCTCAACTAAATGACTGAACTCAATGTCTCCAACAATGGGACAGATCCATATCAAGTGCTTCCTGATTTGCTGCACTCGGAACACAACATTCTACTTAACACAGAAACCTGAATGAGTAACAAAGAAATGCTGAGACAAACCCAAGGTAAGGACAGTGCACAAAACAAAAGACCTAGACTATTCCAAAATGTGAGTACAGGGAGTAGCTAAGGGAAGACATGGTATCCTGGAAGGGAAAATTGCTACAAAAGATACTGGGACAATGATGAAATTTGACTGTGGATTCAACATTAGGTAGTAGTATCATGTAAGAGGTCAATTTTCTAAATTTAATAATTGCACTTTGGTTATATAAAGGATTGTTGAAGTATTCAGGGATAGGATCATGGGCTCTGTGGCTTATTCTCAAATATGTCCAAAAAATAAGCATAATAATAATAATAATAATACATAGTCTTATATATGTTGGGTAATAGTTATGCATATGTGCATATATACATGGGAGGGAGAAAGAGAGAGGAGAGAATGCCAAAAAATTCTATCAATGGATGAATGCAGGTGAATTGTAATATGGGACGTCATTGTAATTGACTTGCAACTTTTCTGGACGTTTAAACTTTACTTCCTAGATAAAAAAAATATATTAGAAAAATCTCTTATGCATCCTGAAATATTTACAGATGAAATGCTATGGTACTGGGATTTGCTTCCATGTCACTGAAGTGAGACAGTGGGTGGATCCATAAGATAAAAATTGCTGAAGCTGGGAGATGGATATACAGACCTCATTACATTATTTTGTCTAATTTCATGTATGTTTAGAAAATTCCACAATGTAACTTTTTTGTTGTTTTTTGGGTTTTTTTTATTCATTTATTCACATGTGCATACACTGTTTGGGCCATTTCTTCCCACTACCCACCATCCCTCCTTCTCCCCCCAACATCCCCTCGCTTCCAGGCAGAAACTGCTCAGCCCTTATCTCTAATTTTGTTGAAGAGAAAACATAAGCATAATAAGAAAGACAAAGCATTTTTGTTAGTTAAGGATAGTTATACAGAGAGAGTCCTAGCATTGCTTCCATGTAAAAATGTGTTACAAACCAAGTTAGTTCATCTCTAACTGATCTTTACACTGGTTCCTGATCCCATTCTCATAGGTTTCTGTATTAGTTCCTCTGGAGTGGGGACATAAAATACTTTCATGTTTTGGGTTTTCTACCTATTCCCATACCACCTGTGTGTGCTCTCCCCTTGTCATGTGACCCAAGTCCAACCACATTGCTGCATTTGCCCTAGATCTAAAGTCCACATATGAGGAAGAACATACGATTTTTGGTCTTCTGAGCCTGGCTAACCTCGCTCAGAATGATGTTCTCCAGTTCCATCCATTTACTTGCAAATGATAAGATTTCATTCTTCTTCATGGCTCAGTAAAATCCCATTGTGTATAAATACCACATTTTCTTGATCCATTAGTCAGTAGTGGGGCATCTTGGCTGTTTCCATAACTTGGCTATTGTGAACAGCGCCGCAATAAACATGGGTGTGCAGGTGCCTCTGGAGTAACCTGTGTCACATTCCTTTGGGTATATCCCCAGGAGTGGGATTGCTGGATCATATGGCAGATCTATGTTTAGATGTTTAAGAAGCCTCCAAATTTTTTTCCAGAGTGGTTGCACTAGCTTGCATTCCCACCAGCAATGTATGAGGGTTACTTTTTCCCCACATCTTTGCCAACACCTGTTGATAGTAGTGTTTTTGATGGTGGCTATTCTAACAGGGGTGAGATGGAATCTTAGTGTGGTTTTGATTTGCATTTCCTTTATGGCTAGAGATGGTGAGCATTTTCTCATGTGTCTTTTGGACATTTGAATTTCTTCTTTTGAGAAAGTTCTGTTTAGTTCACTTGCCCATTTCTTTATTGGTTCATTGATTTGGGGAGAGTTTAGTTTCTTAAGTTCCCTGTATATTCTGGTTATCAGTCCTTTGTCTGATATATAGCTGGCAAAGATTTTCTCCCACTCTGTGGATGGTCTCTTCAGTTTAGAGACCATTTCTTTTATTGTGCAGAAGCTTTTTAGTTTTATGAAGTCCCATTTGTCCATTCCTTCTCTTAGTTGCTGAGCTGTTGGGGTTCTATTGAGGAAGTCCTTGCCTATACCTATTACTTCCAGAGTGTTTCCTGCTCTTTCCTATACCAACTTCAGAGTTTCGGGTCTGATAGTAAGATCCTTGATCCATTTTGAGTTGATACTAGTACAGGGTGATAAACATGAATCTAGTTTCAGTTTTTTGCAGATGGATAACCACTTTTCCCAGCAACATTTGTTGAAGAGGCTGTCTTTTCTCCATCGTATATTTTTAGCCCCTTTGTCAAAAGTAAGTTGGTCATAGTTGTGTGGATTCATATCCTGGTCCTCTATTCTGTGCCACTGGTCTTCATGTCTGTTTTTGTGCCAGTACCATGCCGTTTTTATTGCTATTGCTTTGTAATATAATTTGAAGTTGGGTATTGTGATACCTCCAGCATTGCTCTTTTTGCTGAGTATTGCCTTGGCTATTCGCAGTCTCTTGTGTTTCCAAATGAATTTTAGGGTAGATTTTTCAATCTCTGTAATGAATGTCATTAGGATTTTGATAGGAATTGCATTAAACATGTAGATTGGTTTTGGTAGTATAGCCATTTTTACTATGTTGATTCTACCAATCCATGAGCACGGGAGAGCTCTCCACCTTCTGTAGTCTTCCTCGATCTCTTTATTCAGGGGTTTGTAGTTCTCCTTGTAGAGATCATTCACATCCCTTGTTACATTTACTCCTAGGTATTTGATTTTTTTGAGGCTATTGTAAGTGGAATTGTTTTCATATGTTCTTTCTCAGTTTGTTCGTTATTGGTGTATAGAAAAGCTAATGATTTCTGTAAGTTGATTTTGTATCCTGCCACCTTGCTGTAGCTGTTTATGGTGTCTAGGAGTTTTTGGGTATAGTTTTTTGGGTCTTTAAGGTATAGGATCATATTGTCTGCAAATAGGGATATTTTGACAGTTTCTTTACCTATCTGTATTCCTTTTATTTCTTCTTCTTGCCTAATTGCTCTGGCTAGGAATTCCAGTACTATGTTGAATAGGAGTGGGGATAGTGGGTACCCCTGTCTCGTTCCTGATTTTAGGGGAAATGGTTTCAGTGTTTCACCATTAAGTATGATGTTGGCTGTAGGTTTGTCATATATAGCCTTTACAGTGTTGATGTACATTCCTTCTGTTCCTAGTTTTCTTAGAGCTTTTATCATGAAGTGGTGTTGAATCTTGTCAAAGGCTTTTACTGCATCTATTGAGATGATCAAGTGGTTTTTGTCTTTGCTTCTATTAATGTGCTGTATTACACTTATAAATTTATGTATGTTGAACCACCCCTGCATCCCTGGGATGAAGCGGACTTGGTCATAGTGAATGATCTTTCTGATGTGCTGCTGGATTCGGTTTGCCATTATTTTCTTGAGGATATTTGCATTGATGCTCATTAAGGAGATTGGCCTTTTTGGAGGTGTCTTTGTCTGGTTTTGGGATGAGTGTAATACTAGCTTCATAAAATGAGTTAGGCAGTTTTCCTTCCCTTTCTATTTGGTGGAACAGTTTAAGGAGAGTTGGTATTAGTTCTTCTTTAAAGGTCTGATAAAATTCAGCAGAGAATCCATCAGGTCCTGGACTTTTCCTTTTTGGGAGACTCTATTGGTGCTTCAACTTCATTTTGTGTTATAGATCTATTCAGGTGATTAATGTCTTCTTGGTTCAATTTTGGATGGTCATAAGTATGTAGAAATCTGTCCATTTCTTCAAGATTTTCAAATTTATTAGAATATGGGTGCTCAAAGTAGTCTCTGATGATTTCCTGGATTTCCATGGTATTTGTTGTTATCTTTGCTTTTGCATTTCTGATTTTACTGATTTGGGTTTTTTCTCTCTTCATTTTAGTCAGGTTTGCCAGGGGTCTGTCAATTTTATTTATTTTTTCAAAGAACCAACTTTTTCTTTCATTGATTCTTTGTATTTTTTTTTTTTGTTTCTGTTTCATTGATTTTGGCCCTAATTTTTATTATTTCTCTCCTTCTGCTTGTTTTGGGATTTGCTTGTTCTTGTTTTTCTAGGAGTTTGAGATGAAGCATTAAGTCATTGATTTGAGATCTTTCTGTCCTTTTAATATATGCACTCATGGCTATAAACTTTCCTCTCAGGACTGCCTTTGCTGTGTCCCATAGGTGGGACTGGAGTGTGAGCTCATGGCTTCATATTCACAAAGGAGGCACTCACAGAGCACGTATTCTACTGCTTGAGCCACACCTCCAGTCCTTAAAACAATTCTTGCATGCAAAAAAAAATACCCTAACATTGCCAATCACAGGTATTTTCAGAAAGCTACCCTCATTCATTACAAAGTCCATTTGGAGGTTCAGTAATCACTAGTTTTTACCACATCTCTTCTGGGTTTCATATACAAAGGGATCTTGCTTCTAGTTTTCCCACAACCATTCTTTCCTTCTAAAAGAAGGCACCAGAAAGAACAAAACCCAAACTATCTCTTGGTTTCTCTTCTATTTCAATTTTATAAAGGCAACAACATAATAGCTTTGGGCTCCTTGTCTACTGACCATTCCATCAGGCAGCAAACAGGAAAGGATCAAAGGCATGAAAAAGCACTGAACACACTATTTTCACTTGGAGGGGATTTTGATATATGGCATCTCATACCAATACATATTCTAGGGCATGTGCTTAGGCAGTAGGACATCTGCTAGCCAGTAGGAGGCTCTGGGTTCAAATCTCACTAATACATATCCATAAATAATTCTATACATAGATTATATGTTTATATATACATATATATAACAACCTGATATAAACTCAGTACAAAAAACAGTGATGTTGACAGTCCCATTCTGACAACCCTCACTGCTATCATAACCACATGCAGCTGTGTACTGTACCCACACTAGCACAGCCAACTGGATCTGAGGAAGGAGGACTGGGGTACAGAAGACCCATCAAAGTTGAGCCCTAGCCTTGGGAAGGTCAGGACAGCATGGACCAGACTGAGGCCCAGAAGCCTGTCCCCTCAAGCTCACCCTCCTCCTACAGCCTTGCTGACTGCAAGGCACATACGCAAATGGATTAGGGAAGGAGGTAAGGCAGGTGGGGTGAGTGGAAGGGGGTATTATTGAGGGTGGAGGGTGGAACTTTCTGGGCTGCACAGCCATAGGCAGGTTTCAGATGGGAGAGGAGAATCCTTGGCTCCACCACAGTGGAAGCCTTTCTGGACACAGGGCTGCTCCCTGCCACAAATAAGCATAAGAGACCCCCTCAAGAAAGACACTACATACGGGGATGGGTGAGACAGCTGCCACTTGGTCTTGAGCAACAATGACTATATCAGGTATCAGTGAGCTTTAATGGCTCACTCTCACACCTACTAATCTTTTAAACAAGAGGATGAATCCTGAGGTTTTGTTTTATATTTTTTCTTTTAAATTTCAGTGTGTAATAAAGACAAAAAAAAGTGATGGGGACTGGATGAAAGCCCAAAAATATGTGAAACAAAGTCCTAAATCTGTGTATAAAAGCATCTATCTCTAACTGGGGTCTGAACTTCTTAGTACTGCAAAGGAAGCAGGAAGCAGTCACAGAGCAGGCATTGGATTAGAGTAAGAGTACAGAGGTGGGAGGATCTACATGAGAGACCAACCAGGGGCATGGTCTCTGGAAACTGACGCACACAGGGTGAGGAGATCTGCCCACCATCACTTTGCTGTGACTCAGGGCCACAATTCAGAACCTGGGACTCACAGGTTAGTGCTTTTACTACCATGGGTAATTTTTTTTTTTTTTTTGGTGGTGTTGATACTGGGGTTTGAACTTAGGGCCTCATGCTCACTAGGCAAGCTTGAGCCACTCTGCTAGCCCCAACCATGAGAAATCTTTCAGGCTCAATAAACTGCAAACATTATTTTTAAAATTTTAAGTTTCCATGTTTTTCATTTTCATTCTCCATCACTATTGCACAACTCTTAGTTTTGGGGCATCAACAGTGAAATCTAGCACGGACTGGTTTTGTTTTCCCCTTTAGAATAAAATATTACAGAAAAAGAATAATTTCTAAAATAAGACACAAAATAGGAATATATGACTCTTTATAATAAATTCCTCTGTCAGCTTCCAGAATGGAACTCTTTACCAAGTTAAAATCATGTTAAATCTTATATTTCAGAGATTAAAAAAAAAAAACTTACCTACAGATTTTTGCAGGAGATGTTTTCTGTATGAAAGCAAAGAGATACAATTAGTCTTTAAAAACTCTTTTTCCCCTTAAAAGAAGACTTTTAGATTAAATGGGAAATAAATTAAGAATAAATTTAAGAGGAGCTTAAAAGCTTGCTGCCTTTCAGTTATTTATTGAAGCTTTTTCTACTTGATCCAAATGAAGGATGACTCAGTTCAGAGTTGAGTCACTTTGGCAAAGCATTCTCATCATTAGAATTATGGTCCTCATGTCTGTTTTTGTGCCAGTACCATGCTGTTTTTATTGTTACTGCTTTGTAATATAGTTTGAAGTCAGTATCGTGATGCCTCCAGCATGTCATTGGAATTTTGATGGGAATTGCATTAAACGTGTAGATTGCTTTTGGTAGTGTAGCCATTTTCACAATTTTGATTCTGCCCATTCATGAGCATGGAGATCTTTCTATCTTCTGTAGTCTTCTTCAATTTCTTTCTTTCCTGATTTACAGTTTTCCTTGTAGAGGTCTTCCACACCCTTTATTAAGTTTATTCCTATGTATTTTATTTTTTGAGGCTATTGTAAATGGGATTTAAAAACTTGATTATTTAGTAACACATGAAAATGTAAGCTAACCTTCATAGCAAACCACATGCTTCTCTTGTCAACTGTGCTCTTCTGGGCAATATGACTATACTTCATACTTGATCTGAACTGGTGTAAAAAATTGTATTTTTGTCCCCAATTACCAAAATAATCCTTCTGAAATGTTCAGAATGAATCTGCCATCATACCTGTCCATTTCCTGAATCAAATATGAAAAAATCTGTGCTACTCCTTGCTGAAATTTCCTTCATCAGTGCAAAGCACTAATTCCCTTAAACTGATTAATTAAAAGCACTTTATAAGGCAAGAATCCAAATTAGAATATCTTCATTTCAGGAAGTTTTAAGTGCCAAGTATATATTCCCCTGAACTTCTATTTTTTTTCCTTCTCTCTAGCAATGGAGTAAAATGTCTTTTCTCTTTTCTTAATTTTCAAATTATACCAGATGACATATAGGACTTCTCAGAGTCTAAACTGGGTTAATGAAAGGAAGTATTTAAAGAGACAGACCTGTGACTGGGCTAGTGGTTTACACCTATAGTCCCAGCTACCAAGGAGGCTAAGGTAGGAGGATCATTTGAATCCACGAGTTCAAGGCTGACCTGGATGACATAGCAAGACCCCATGTCAAATGAAGTAAACAAATTCCAATGACATGCTGGAGGCATCACGATACTGACTTCAAACTATATTACAAAGCAGTAACAATAAAAACAGCATGGTACTGGCACAAAAACAGACATGAGGACCAGTGGAACAGAATAGAGGACCCAGATATGAAGCCACAAAACTATACCCAACTTGTCTTTCACAAAAGCGCTAAAAATATACGATGGAGAAAAAGCAGCCTCTTCAACAAAATCTGCTGGGAGAACTGGTTAGCAGTCTGCAAAAAACTGAAACTAGATCCATGTTTATCACCCTATACCAATATTAACTCAAAATGGATCAAGGATCTTAATATCAGACCACAAACTCTAAAGTTGATACAGGAAAGAGTAGGAAATACTCTGGAGTTAGTAGGTATAGGTAAGAACTTTCTCAATGGAACCCCAGCAGCACAGCAACTAAGAGATAGCATAGATAAATGGGACTTCATAAAACTAAAAAGCTTCTGCTCAACAAAAGAAATGGTCTCTAAACTGAAGAGAACACCCACAGAGTGGGAGAAAATATTTGCCACCTACACATCAGACAAAGGACTGATAACCAGAATATATGGGGAACTTAAAAAACTAAATTCTCCCAAAACTAATGAACCAATAAAGAAATGGGCAAGTGAACTAAACAGAACTTTCTCAAAAGAAGAAATTCAAATAGCCAAAAAACACATGAAAAAATGTTCACCATCTTTAGCAATAAAAGAAATGCAAATTATAACCACACTAAGATTACACCTCACCCCTGTTAGATTATTAGCAACACCACGGACAACAGGTGTTGGCAAGGATACGGGGAAAAAGGAACCCTCTTACACTGTTGGTGGGAATGTAAACTAGTACAACCACTCTGGAAAAAAATTTGGAGGCGACTTAAAAAGCTAAACATTGATCTACTATATGATCCAGCAATACCACTCTTGGGGATATACCCAAAAGACTGTGACACAGGCTACTCCAGAGGCACCTGCACACCCATGTGTATTGCAGCACTATTCACAATAGCCAAGTTAGGGAAACAGCCAAGATGCCCCACTACTGATGAATGGATCAAGAAAATGTGGTATCTATACACAATGGAATTTTATGCAGCCATGAAGAAGAACAAAATGTTATCATTCGCTGGTAAATGGATGGAATTGGAGAACATCATTCTGAGCGAAGTTAGCCTGGCCCAAAAGACCAAACATCGTATGTTCTCCCTTATATGTGGACATTAGATCAAGGGCAAACACAACAAGGGGATTGAACTTTGATCACAAGATAAAAATTGAGAGCCCACAAGAGAGATATGAGGATGGGTAAGACACCTAAAAAATTAGCTAGCATTTGTTGCCCTCAACGCAGAGAAACTAAAGCAGATACCTTAAAAGCAACTGAGGCCAATAGGAGAAGGGGACCAGGAACTAGAGAAGAGGTTAGATCAAGAAGAATTAACCTAGAAGGTAACACACATGCACAAGAAATTAATGTGAGTCAGCTCCCTGTATAGATATCCTTATCTCAACTAGCAAAAACCCTTGGTCCTTCCTATTATTGCTTATACTCTCTCTTCAACAAAATTAGAGATAAGGGCAAAATAGTTTCTGCCGGGTATTGAGGGGGTGGAGGGGACAGGAAGGGGGTGGGGTAGGTGGTAAGGGATTGGGGTGGGGGCACGGGGGAGAAATGACCCAAGCATTGTATGCACATATGAATAATAAAAAAATAAAAAATAAAATAAAATAAATTCCAATGACATTCATCACAGAAATTGAAAAATCAACCCTAAAGTTCTTTTGGAAGCACAAAAGACCACAAATATAGCCAAGGCAATACTGAACAAAAAGAGGAACACTGGAGGTATCACAATTCCCAACTTCAAACTACACTACATAACCATAGCAATAAAAACAGCATGGTACTGGCACAAAAACAGACATGAAGACCAGTGGAACAGAACAGAAGACGTAGATATGAATCCACACAGCTACCCCCACTTGATTTTTTTTATTCATGTATTCACATGTGCATACATTGTTTGAGTCATTTCTCCCCCTTGTCCCCACCCCCTTCCTTACTCCCCACCCCCCATCCCTTCCAGGCAGAACCTGCTCAGCCCTTATCTCTAATTTTGTTAAAGAGAAAACATAAGCATAGTAAGAAAGACAAAGCATTTTTGCTAGTTAAGGATAGCTATACAGAGAGAGTCCTAGCATTGCTTCCATGTACTAATGTGTTACATCCCAAGTTGATTCATCTCTAACTGATCTTTACACTGGTTCCTGATCCCATTCTCATATCGTCCTCTGTCACTTTAAGGTTTCTGTATTAGTTCCTCTGGAGTGGGGCCATGAAAAACTTTCATGTTTTGGGCTTTCTACCTATCTCCATACCTCCCATATGTGCTCTCCCTGGTTATGTGACCCAAGTCCAACCACATTGCTGCATTTGCCCTAGATCTAAAGTCCGCATATGAGGAAGAACATACAATTTTTGGTCTTCTGAGCCTGGCTAACCTCGCTCAGAATGATGTTCTCCAGTTCCATCCATTTACTTGCGAATGATAAGATTTCATTCTTCTTCATGGCTCAGTAAAATCCCATTGTGTATAAATACCACATTTTCTTGATCCATTAGTCAGTAGTGGGGCATCTTGGCTGTTTCCATAACTTGGCTATTGTGAACAGCGCTGTGACAAACATGGGTCTGCAGGTGCCTCTGGAGTAACCTGTGTCACGTTCCTTTGGGTATATCCCCAGGAGTGGGATTGCTGGATCATATGGCAGATCTATGTTTAGATGTTTAAGAAGCCTCCAAATTTTTTTTCCAGAGTGGTTGCACTAGCTTGCATTCCCACCAGCAGTGTATGAGGGTTCCTTTTTCCCCACATCTTTGCCAACACCTGTTGTTAGTGGTGTTTTTGATGATAGCTATTCTAACAGGGGTGTGGTGGAATCTTGGTGTGGTTTTGATTTGCATTTCCTTTATGGCTAGAGACAGTAAGGATTTTTTCATGTGTTTTTTGGCCATTTCAATTTCTTCTTTTGAGAAAGTTCTGTTTAGTTCACTTGCCCATTTCTTTATTGGTTCATTGATTTGGGGAGAGTTTAGTTTCTTAAGTTCCCTGTATATTCTGGTTATCAGTCCTTTGTCTGATATATAGCTGGCAAAGATTTTCTCCCACTCTGTGGATGGTCTCTTCAGTTTAGAGACCATTTCTTTTATTGTGCAGAAGCTTTTTAGTTTTATGAAGTCCCATTTGTCCATTCTTTCTCTTAGTTGCTAAGTTGTTGGGGTTCTATTGAGGAAGTCCTTGCCTATACCTATTACTTCCAGAGTGTTTCCTGCTCTTTCCTATACCAACTTCAGAGTTTCGGGTCTGATAGTAAGATCCTTGATCCATTTTGAGTTGATACTAGTACAGGGTGATAAACATGAATCTAGTTTCAGTTTTTTGCAGATGGATAACCACTTTTCCCAGCAACATTTGTTGAAGAGGCTGTCTTTTCTCCATCGTATATTTTTGGCACCTTTGATAAAGGCACCTAAAACATACGGTGGAGGAAAGACAGTATCTTCAAAACTGGTTATCTACATAAAGAAAGCTGAAACTAAATCCCTATCTTTCACCCTGTAAATATCAACTCAAAGTGGATCCAGGACCTTAATATAAGACCTGAAACTTTGAAGTTAGTGCAGGAAAGAGCAGGGAATACACTAGAACTTATAGGCATAGATAATAATTTCCTAAATAGAACTCCACTGGCTCAGCAACTAAGGAAAGGATTAAC